AAACTTAGATAAAAATTTCAAAGTAATAACGTGCTAAATAAACCATTAAATAAAATGCCAAACAAATGTTTCTTCAAAAGCACAAAATTAATTGTACTTTGTAAATGTTGTAAGAACCAGAAGCCATTTCTATAAACTTTCTTTAGATAAAATTTCAAATTATGAACAATATGTTTAATTGGGTTTTTAAAATATATCCTTTAAATTAATAATGATCTCATTAATTAAAAAAATTTTTAAAAAAGAATTATTTTTAATGTTCTTATTAAAAAATAAAATCTTTAATGAGACTTTAAACACAAACATTTACTTTTAAATAAAATCTCTGACAAGGAATCTTCAATTTAAATAAAATGCAATCTCCCTTGTATACTTTACTATTTCGTTTACTTTTTAAGAGAAGTTGATTGGAAATTGAATTAAATTTCGAAAAGTCAAAAGGTTGGCAAGTTCCTATAGAAGCGGGGGAACTGATTAGCTGGAAACATAAGATAGCTTTTATCGTGTGGCTATGATGTCACATGACTTATTGAATTGATTGACCAGAATCACGTGATTACCATTATCATGTGGCTATGACGTTATATGAATGTAGCCCATTATTGTCCCAGTAATTAAAGTAAACTCAGTGGCGCAACAGTTCATAAAGACCTAAGCATACAGTGCCCATCTCAGTATATGTGACCATGGGTACTAAGGTGTATGAGCAGATCTCCCGATCAGGTGGTCAGTCTGAGTCCCAATAATACTGCCGACCAATTTCACCAAAGTAAAACACCTCAACTGCAAAAACGTCGCCTAATGCAAAACGGTTTCCACTATTGGCAACATATTGTGGCATTTAGCGACGTCTTTTGATCGGACTAAACAGTTTGACGGTATAAAACGAAAGTACCAATATTTTAAATAATATATTATGACATTGAACTTTTATATATAATAAAAAATTGCAGTCAAACAAATACATTCTGAAAGGCTTCGGCTAATGGATTGATTCGCACGTCTCACATTAGAGCAACTCGAAAGTTACTGGCAGAATGCCAAAGAGGGGCTATCTTACTCTAGTTTAAAATCTACAAATCACCATCCCCCGGGAAACAAGCATTTGAACTCGATTTTTAATAATAAAAAAGATATTTTTAACTGAATAATACAAGTTTTAACAAAATTGGTTTCGAAGTACAAGGGTGTATAAAAGGTACAAAAGAAATACCGAACAAAAAAATAATCTTAAATTTGATCAAAAAGCAAATGCAACAACGGAAATGGCGCTTTAATTTCTAAAATTACATCGCTTCAGCGGAAGGGATGACTTATAACCTTGACAGATTTAATTGGTTTCAGCCTCTCTGCACGGTGTGTTAAAACTTGGGACGTATTCAAAAATAAAACGCTTGCTAAATTTTAAAAACTAATACATCCAGTATCCTAATTGAAATCAGAACCACCCTCGGCATACATCTAAATTTTTGTTATGTTTGGAATCTGTGTCCTGACTATTTATTAAATATGTACAATAAAGCAACGCGACGGCTATTGGAGATGGACTCCATAATTTTGAACCACGGTTAAATGCAAGGGAAAAATGATACCTGAGCTGGCCCGTTCCTTTTCCAAACTAGGCCAAAAGAACAATCGCGGCAATCGTGGTCAATCACGGCAACAACTCTATCGTGAAATATCTGTATCGCTTTTAACAAGTTTTTTTTTTGCAAAACAAAGGTATAATTCAAGGTACTATACATTGTATAATACCTTGTATTATACAAAGTATCTTTCTTTATACTTAGTATATACAAGGTATATACTGGTTTATTATGCTTTCACCCGCGAGTGGTCGTGCTGAGCATAGCTCATGCATAGCTCATGAAATCTTTAATATTAGGAAAGCTATTTATTTGTTACCAAAGTCCTTGTCAGTATACTCCTATACGGCAGTCTTCATGGGAACTAAAATGCATTTTCTACATAACTCTCTTTTTTGGGGGAGTGACAAACGATTTTTTTACAGTCTTAAGGTATTTGGAGTGACTGAGTTTACCACGTGGCCACTTTTGTTCCAAAATATTTTGTATGGACAGGCTACATATTTTCCTTTAAATGACTAGATGGTTTTGATTGTTGTGTTGTACGACTATTATGGCTTATAAATGTAAATGAATAGAATATTAAAAAAAAAAGAAGTAGGCAAAAACACACACGCGTGATATTCTATTGGATGAAGTTGAAGCTAATCAATCATGGTAAGAATCTGATGAAATAATTGATATCAATCGTACTAGCAAAAGTAAATTCGGGAAAAGAGATGATCATGAAATTTTTGAGTTGAAAGGAAAATGTTCAAACGTAACCTAAAAAACTCCATCAAGAAACATATAAAGCCACAAGACACGCTGCATCCTGTCAAAAAGACACAAGAGGAAAAAAAATAATTTGCACAAAACATGACACTTTTGCTTGAAAGTATCATTCCTGTAATATTAGCGAATAGTGTCTGTGATTTGTGTCTTTTATTAAAGTCACGCACATTTGAAACATTTTAGTTCAGCTTAATTCCATTTTTTTCCCTCAAATTAGTGAAGAAAACTTGAAAAGTCCTTAAAAGTAGGTGAGTGTACTTTTGCTTAGTTAAATTATTCATTGGAATTACGATTTTTATCGTGTACCGTAAAAATAATTATAAAAAAAAGGTTTGGTGTGACTCTCTATCACCCCGCGCGCCATCAACGTTAATATCGAGTGCGCGCCTTCTCTCAGGTTAAGATACTTACAAATTTAAGTTCAAATTTGAGCCCTCTACTAAAATTTTATTTTAATTAATTACTGATAAGTACATACTAAGTTTAGTATAGCAAACTGGGGTTATTTTACCATAAAAAGTAGAATGCTAAAATAATGACGTAATTAACAAAGACTCATGATGACGAAATCTATTTCGGTACAAACTTTCAAGATGGAAACTTCAAGCACAACAAAAATCTAAAAACTGGAAGCCAAGATAATAAAAATAAGATAAAACAAACTGAATCGCGCTAGTCGAAGACAAAATAACACTTTAACAACCTGTGAACAGAAATTAACGCTTTGACACAGAGTGGCGAAATCTCAAACAAAGTTCAAGAAACCGTGACGAATGACAAAAAGCAAAAAAAAAAAAAAAAAAAAAAAAAAAAAAAATCGCATTTAATGCTATAAAGGACTTTTCAGCTCGTTACACCGTCAAGAAAACATTCTTCAAACAAAAAGAAAAGGGGAAAAATAGCGAGAAGGGGAAAAGATATGAAACCGAACAAAAATCCATTAAAAATAGAATAAAATACTAAGAATTCTGGGAGAGATTTCATTGTATGCGTCAGCTCGCTGTTCAGAATCATTGTTACGATTCCCGTCGAAAATTAAAGCATTCTTTTCACTGGAGAACTTCATTAGTGCAGGAAATCCTGAAGAAATATCCCTCGCCTAAAAATTCTTCCCCCATTCTTTATTCTTTTTTTCCCGTTTTGAGTCTCTTAATGAGCGCCGATAAATAGCAGCATCCACCGTGACAGGGAAGGAAAAAGGGAAAAAAGATACAAAAGGGAAGAAAAATCCTTCAGCCTCATAAAAAGGGGAACAATGACACTGCAGAGTACAAGAGAAAGTGCACAGGTGAATGTTAAGATATTCGGAGATCAGGAACTGATCGTTGAAAGATCCGAGATATATTTCCAGGATTGGGGGTAGTTGCTTTCAAAGTGTCTACTGAATTTCCCCGAGTCTCTTCCTGCCGTTTTATTAAGGATGACTTACGGTACTTATGTGATCCGGTTTAGGAGAGGGAATTGCATATATCCATCTTGAAATATGCTTATATTTTTGGAATTTTTTCGTTCTATTTTCAGATCCTCGCTTAAATGTCTCTTAATTTTCTTCGAACATATAATTTGGGTTAAAACTCATGGTTTAATTTTTCTCACTTTTTTATTATTAAATTTATTTCAGTTCTTAAAAGAATTTTTTTATTTTTAAAGAAAATTTGTTTCTATAGGAAATAATAATGATAATTCTAAAGATATAACTAAAGAACAAAAACTGGTACAATCAATTTAAAAAAAAGTTCCTGAAATAAATTCTTTTAACTTTTTAACGGTCGCATAATTTTGAAGGAAACGGTCACAAAAGTGCCTATTTTTTTTATTCAAGAAAATTATATAAAACTAAATGTGTGTTCCATATATATAAATATAAATTTTGGGTAAATTTTTAGCTTGAAACACAGAAAACTAATTTTTTAAGAAAAGTCAACGCTTAGGGTTATTATGACTGAATGTTGGTTTTCCTGCAAAGTAAAAAAAAATTATAAAAACATGTGTTTTAAATAATAAAGGAGAAAATTTTTACTCTAATGCATGACGTAAAAACCCAAAAGTAGTTTTTTCTTGTGAGATAAATTTGAAAGAATGAATAAAAAGGCCAACATCACAGGTAACAGTACAAATCCATCATCACTGCTCCCAGATTCACTAACTGAACTTTAAAAAAACCCAGTTATTTCAGAATCACTCGCGGATCCATTTATACTAAAGGAAGAATCCGACTCACTACCTGACTACAGGTATTGTCCACGTCACTTAACCATGGTTCCAGATTACGTGGTCCGTCACCAAAAGCTCTCGTGTAGCTGAGCAATGCGACGTTAATATTCACTCACTCGATAAATACACTATGGAATTTGATTTGATTTTAATTTACGTCGCAATCGTGAATAAAAAACATTTTAAAGCCCTCAATCGAGCTGAAATTTTATTTACATGTTGTTGTTGTCGTGTGTTTATTACTGGGATACTTACGAAAGACATGAGATAGATGAACTGACACATTAAACACAACCACAGAAGAATACAGATTTTATTACAAACGATGATCCCAGCGTATAACAAGATGAGGTGCGCTGCTTTTCCTTTCGAGACTGGAATCCATTTCAGGCGAAAGACCGACTTCTTCTCCGAAGGAGTTACAACCAAATCTTACTCGGGATTCGAACCCGAACCCACTCGGTTACAAGCCGAGGGTCATAGCCACCATACTGGCTAAACGACAATTTTATTTACATGATTATTTTGAATGACAATACAATAATTTATTTATAATTAATAAAAAGTAATTGATTAAAACTAATTATTTAAGGAATTACAAAAACAGCCACGTTGGCATCATTTTTGGCGACTTGTGTCAAAACTTTAAAACATTTTCTTTTTCTCACGGTTTAAAGCAGTTAGTAGAACTGGAATTTTATATATTTATATAATTAATAAAAATGAATTATCACTTAATGTTGTGATTCTGTCTTATGTATATACATATTTATATTAATTGTAACTATTTAATAAAAAAGTAGGTAAAATAAAAATTTTCTTTGTTCATCTAAGTAGAAATAGACTTAATTTTTTTTATACTACTTGTGTTCTCAAGTAGCTTGACTAACAGCAGAAAATGTATTTGACATTACAGCCCTTTGTGATTCATACAATATCTTCATTTTCAAACATTCTTCTGTCAATATTATGGCTGAGGTACACAATGAATATCAGATAACTATTACTATAATTACTCAATTGTAATCATTACTTTTCAATGTCAACATGCGGTACCTGAAGCCTATTATTTCAGAAGCCACGTTCGAAGAAAACATAAATTTCCCATGACGAAAATGCAAGACAAATGCTTCAAACTATTTGTGTAATAAATCAAAAGAAAAAAAACGAGAGCATAACCAGCCAATAAGCGATCATTACCACAAAGTTTCTTGAAAAACACAATCAAACAAAATCATCAATAACCAATCTGGATCGATAATAGGTAATTACATCTTGAGTGGGCTGACATTAGTTGCGTGTCAGCATTTTTCTCCATTGAAATGTCGCCAATACCACAAGATAGAAATTGATGACGTCTACTCTCATAACGAGCCATCAAGGCACACAAAACATCAACTATTTCGCCCAAAATAAAAACCACAGCAAACAACCAAACCTTCACTTTTCAGCCAACAATATATCCGCATACATTGTGCCAAAAACTTCTGTAATACATCACTTCATGGTTTGGAGATTTTTTTCTTTCTTTACTATGGTGGATACTTTTTTTTCCCCTGTTACCTCCGGTGGTTATTGAGCGAGTGTAACTTTTCTTGGTGAGAGTGGATGGTAAATCTGTTTCCCTAACACGCCAAACGATGGAGACATCAATCATAATCGTAATCCTTCAGTTGAGGACGGTAATCTGACCAGTCTTCAAAGGCTGATCTTTGAAGGGGACGCACAGAAAGAAAGAGATATGTGTTTGGAGAGGTAACAAAGAAAAAGGGTTTGATTGGATGAGCAGGACACGTGACCCGTCAACATCTTTGTCTTCGATAGAAAAGTATTTCAGGATGGATTAATAAATCTATGAAACATGTCACGTATTTTTTTCAAGTTTTATGGTCTGTGTGTTGATATATATATATCAACACACACACACATATATATATATATATATATATATATATATATATTTGTATATGCATATGTATATATATATATATATGTATATACATATGTATATATACCGGGTGATCAAAAAGTCAGTATAAATTTGAAAAATTCATAAATCAGGGAATAATGTAGATAGAGAGGTAAAAATTGACACACATGCTTGGAATGACATGGGGTTTTATGAGAACAAAAAAAAAAAAAAATAATAAAGTTCACAAAATGTCCGACAGATGGCGCTGGAAAACAAAACGTCAGTGACTGCGCATGAAAATCGCGTAGAAAAGGGGCTGTCATGAGAGAGAGAATCAGTTGCACCAGCTGTCGCAGCATGTTGACGTTACCTGAAAAGGCACTGTTAGTGAAGCTGTATTATCAGAATGGGGAATGTGCTAGTGCAGCGTTACGTTCCTATCGCCATACGAAGGGGAAGAAGGGGTAAAGGTCCGTTGACAAATGCATCTGTGGCGAGAATGATTTCGAAGTTCGAAGCGACGGGTTGTTTAAACGATAGACCCAGTAGTGGACGACCGAGCACACGGCGGAATGCTGCTCAGACGGTTAAGGATGAAATGGAGACTGTAGCGGGTTCGTCTACGCACGGGGAAGTTAGCGCCCGTGCAGTCGCACGTCGCACCGGCATTCCACACACTACTGTTTGGTTGGCACTTAGGCGTACCCTCCGATGCTATCCGTACAAAATCCATCGGCATCATGAATTGTTACCTGGCGATTCCGTGAATCGGAGGGCATTTGCGGTGTGGGCGTTTCAAAAGATGGCGGAAGATGACGATTGGTTGGGTAACTTGTGGACCGACGAAGCTCATTTCACGCTCCGAGGGTCTGTCAACACCCACAACTGCAGAATTTGGGCTACTGAAAATCCTAGAACTGTCGTGGAAACTCCATTGCACGACGAGAAAGTCACGGTATGGGTTGGATTTTCCACATCTACCGTTATCGGGCCTTTTTTCTTCGAGGAAATGCGTGATTCTGGTTTTGTAACTGCTACCGTGACGGGTGAGTGGTACGGCGATATGTTACAGAATCGCATCATCCCCAGCCTGGCTGATAAACACCTGCTGGAACGTACGATTTTTATGCAGGATGGCGCTCCACCCCATATTGCTAGACGCGTGAAAGATCTCTTGCTCAGGTCGTTTGGTGATGATCGTGTGCTCAGCCACCACTTTCATCATGCTTGGCCTACCAGGTCCCCAGATCTCAGTCCGTGCGATTATTGGCTTTGGGGTTATCTGAAGTCGCAAGTGTATCGTGATCTACCGACATCTCTAGGGATGCTGAAAGACAACATCCGACTCCAATGCCTCACCATAACTCCGGACATGCTTTACAGTGCTGTTCACAACATTATTCCTAGACTGCAGCTATTGTTGAGGAATGATGGTGGACATATTGAGCATTTCCTGTAAAGAACATCATCTTTTCTTTGTCTTAATTTGTTACGTTAATTATTGCTTTTCTTATCAGATGAAGCACCATCTGTCGGACATTTTATGAACTTTATTTTTTTTTTGTTCTAATAAAACCCCATGTCATTCCAAGCATGTGTGTCAATTTTTACTTCTCTATCTACATTATTCCGTGATTTATGAATTTTTCAAATTTATACTGACTTTTTGATCACCCGGTATATAAATATATATATATATATATATATATATATATATATATATATATATATATATATATATATATGTATATATATATAAATATATGTATATATATATATATATATATATATATATATATATATATATATATATATATATATATATATATATATATATATATATATATATATGTGTGTGTTCCCTTAGTGATAAATAATTAGAATTGAATCAAATAGGATCTTCTCAGACAGAAATATAACTCAGTATTATTATTCACTGTGACTTTTTGAATACATTGGTAGCAATTTAAGTTAGAAAATATAATACATCCAACTATGTTCTTATGACTGTTTCTTAAGTTACATGGTTCAAAAGAGACTTCCTTTTTTCTTGAAAAAAAACTTGTTTTATCGTTATTTTACAATTCCTTATGTCTCATTTTATCTGACAAAATGTTTGTCTTAAATTAAGCAGGTTGAGTGTTTTAGTTGGTTTGTCGCTGGCCTTGTACGCTGGTTTTGTAAGTTTGTGGGTTTGACCCCAGTTAAAGTCGGTCAATTTTCATGATGTAGAAAATGGACAGTGACCATGTTATATCGTCATAAGGAATGTTAAAGATCCCTAGAGTGCCGGGTTGGGTTGGGTGCTCTTGACAAATATAAATTCTTTGTACGATTTTACTTCATCATAGCTCCAGTGCCTTCCTCTGGGGAAGAAACTGGGCATCAAAATTACACGGTGGTAATCGGTATCCACCTATGCAGTGCCGCACAACAAAGAGATACCAGCTTCCGGGGAAGGCACTAGGTCTGCAATGGGAAAATACCATTCCACAGCCATGATTCAAGAAAAAATGTCTTAAATCATTTTACTGAGTGTTTTCTAGTACAAAGCACAGGAGTGGCTTACACAAACAATTTGTACAGAGAGGTTTTTTTTACTTAAGGCGTAGTTTTTATGCTAAAAATAAAGAAAAAAACTATTGGTTTCTGAGTAAGGTTTGTATCCCTTCACACACACAAATTTCACTCCTATGTACACCATCACAATCTTTGATAACGCTACTGTGGTCCGAAAATTCGGCTGTATTGTGCATTTCTATAATCTTGTAATCACAGACGAATCTTCTTTTTTGATAATTCTCACCGTTAACTCTAAGGACTGGGCTCCAGGCCGTCATAAAAAATTGCAGTTATTATTAAGTAGCAATAAATAATTATGGAAGTAAATATTGTTTCTCTATTTCTATTTTTACTTTTGGGTTTTCTATTCTTAATTTTGGTTCTACACAGTTTTTCTTTTTTCTTTTTTTAATCTGTGCTGCACATAATTTTATTTAAGAATTATATACTGCACATTTTAAATTTCATTGCTTAATATTAAAAAGTGCTTAAATATGTATTTGTATGGAATATTATTGATAATGTATGTGTATAATTTATCTTGACATTATAATTTTTACAGATTGAAGCATTTTTCACATTTTTTAAAAATTAAATATCTTCCTTTATAATATATTAAATGGTTTTCGGATAGTATGGAATGCATTTCTAATTTTTATACAGAAGCGTATCTTTTTATACTTTTTTTACAAGAATTTTATATTGGGTGCGGTTCTATTTGTAATCGATTGTGATATGTTTAATTTCTTGTCCTTTTCGTTCTGAAGCCAAATGAAGCCCTAATTTAATATGTTAAAGTAAAAAATATTGTTGAAAAATGTCAAAAATCTTCTTTTCCCTCATTAAAATCTTTATATGTAAGAATAATCCCTCAAACATATATTACTGAAGATACATTTTTACATTTGGGATAACCTTTTAGAGTAGCTTAAGGTAGCCTGAACACAAAATACCTATTTTAAATGTACGTCTTGTTGTGTCATACATTTGCGTAGTTACCGCCGGATCAATGATAAAGAGTCCCCAAACTTTAATG